ACAAACCTTTTTGGAGGGGGGAATTAATTGTGTGTACGTGTTAATGTGTGTGTGTTCTGTGACGATGTTGTATACTCCAGCCTGAGTGTGTGTGTGTGTGTGTTTTTGTGACGATTGAGTGGTGTACTCCAGACTGCCTCGTCGCCATGGGATTATCCTCTAAGCGGTTTCCACAACATTATTTCATTTTTTAAAAGTGTGTGTGTGTGTGCGTGTCCGTCCACCGCTGCCTCTGTCCACACACTTACGCATGTGCATGGGCAAGCAAACACACACACACACACACACACACACACACACACACACACACACACACACACACACACACACACACACACACACACACACACACACACACACACACACACACACACACACACATGCACACACACACACACACACACACACACACACACACACACACACACAAACACACACACACACACCCATGCACATCCACACCCATGCACGCACGCACACACACACACACACACACACACACACACACACACACACACACACACACACACACACATACCCATCCACATACACACACACACCCATGCACACACACACACACACATGCACACACACACACACACACACACCTTACAACAAGCCAGCCGGCCATGCAAACAAACAGTGAAAGTCTAAGTGCAATCCCATTTAAATTCTGGAATCTGGGCTGGGTGAAAACAGGCGTTGACCTAGACAGCTCTTTTAATGCTCTCATCTGTTGTTGCTTCTTTTAGGACGTTGTCTAAATCACAGCCAGCCGCTGTGTGTGTGTGTGTGTGTGTGTGTGTGTGTGTGTGTGTGTTTACAGTGTCAACAAAATAAATCCCCACAAAAAACATGCAGGCTCTTACTACTGCCTGGTAAAATGAGATTGATGCCCCAACCTTCTTTTTATTTGTGTGGCAGAGTAAAAAGCATGTTGCCATGTGAGGAGAACTCACCTAGGTAGCTACAAATAATCTGGTATTTGCTCCTGAAGTCAAAAATGATGAAACGGAAGTCACTAGGGCCATACTAATAACATGAGGTTGTCACAACGTTGTCACATGGTAGTGTCATTATAAACAACCTTCTCACAACCTATTTGCAACGTTGTGACAACGTCATGTGCTAGTAGGGTTGAATATTATTGATAAATCAGAGCATTGGAATGATAATTCAATTCAATGATATAGTAGACAATCATCAACACCCATTTCTCCAGGGTTGTATTCGTTACGCACAAAACTGAAGAAAATGGGGTGAAACAGGGGTGAAACCTGAACTTGTCCAATAGGAAGCTTGTTTTTGTTTTCTGATGCAAAACCTTTTGCTACGGTGTGCCCTAATGAATTATGACCCTGATGTAGCCTACCATCAGACCAATCAGACAGAATTCAGACAGGCTTCTCAACAGCTTCTACCCCCAAGCCATAAGACTCCTGAACAGCTAATCATGGCTACCCGGA